GAGACACACTTAATGACTGTAAGGCCAATTATGAATGTAATGTATGTTTGATACTTACGACTGATCATGCCCAAGCGCACCAAGTCAGAGACACTTGCTTTCAGTCGGTGTTCACAGTCAATGTTTAAAATCTGTTTCCAGTGTAAACCCTGCTGTGAACGCAATTTAACGTAGCAAGTCTTATAGGTTAAGAGTAGCACTCGGATAAAGGAGTGTGCTTTGATCTTAAATTGCCTGGCCCGCATGATTTCTTTCTTAGGTACTGTGTTGGTTGGTGGAGCCAGTCTCCGCAGTGATCCAGGCCATGTCGAGTACGTCCCTCACTGACCTCCTTCAGGAGCTGCAGGGCAGGGAAGGACAGCTTCCCCTCGTGCTGCAAAATAAGGTGTCACTGCCAAATTCATTTGTGTTTATAATGGCTCAGTGCATCGACCTTGTTTGACTGACTAAACCAAAGATGATGTTGTGTTTGTCAGTTCGGCGTGACGCTGCTGTATCTGATCCTGAGTGAAGGAGAGCGGATGCAGAGCTCGGATCCCAACTGTCAGCTCATGGACGATAACCGCTGGTGAGCATCTGTCTATTAAACCAGTTAAACTCTTATAGTGCAAAGGCTTTCTTAAAATAAATTAAGCGTTGCAGTTTTTCATCACCATTAGTTTTTGGGAGTGTGGTGTTTATTAAAGTCCCTGTAAAGTCAATTCTACAAAAAAGTTCTAAACACATTATAAATGTTACATATGTATTGCTAAAACATATTACAAAGTCTGTGAACTGTGAAGTACTGAAATGTGGAGTTAGACCGTTAAACAGTTTTTCACCATTGCAATTTTACGGATTAATTGGGCGGGGCTAAAACAGGGCTCCGTGACGCACTGGAGCCCATGAGCTGCTGGACACCCCCCTATTTGATGACGCACAGAGTCTGATCTCTCCCCTTACACACAATAACACTCCCCGAGCACATTGGCATTCACCGCTCAATCGCGAGTGACTGTCAGTAGTTTTCTAGCTAGCTATGCCTTCGACACGGACATGCATGGGCTACTACCTGGATGCGATCATGTACAAAACAGATCGGTATCTTCATTTAAATTCCCTTAAAAACGATCACATCAAGAAGAGGTTTTTAGAGAGCCTAACGTTACCTTGATGACGAGCTGAGGATCACCGACAGCAACACCCGCCTCTGTATGATCATTTTACACTGGATCGTTTTATAAACTTTCCTCAGAGACAACTTGGATTCACTGATAATTGAACGGGGACGAAACGACGATCTCCCGCCTCAGCTTTCATCCTCCCGTCTCCAAAAGCTAATCAGCTAATATCACCGTCAACAGCTTTCCCGTGAGTGGGCGTGGTTTCAGCGCAGCCAGCAGACACGCCCCCAGCGTTTGATGATTTTGATTGCTTATTTTATCTACTTCCCGACTTTTTTTATCATTCAAATTTGGCTGGGTGGCTAATTACACATTTTTATGTGGTGTGACAAACTCAGAACGCATACTTAATTTTGACTTTACAGGGACTTTAAGTCCTGTCTTTACTCTGTGTCCAGAAATATTATGCCTTTTTAAATACAGTTACACGAGTAGTGTTACTCGACCAAGAATGGTGACACAAAATAAAACATTTCGCTTTTCTAAGCGTGTAAAGTGTAATATCATATATAATATAAATAGGGAAAACGTGGAGATGTTTGGTTGCTTCTCTGCTTGGCCTATATTGAATGAACTGGGCTAGTTAAGTGCTATCAAAGTGTCTTGAGTGCACGCACTGAGACAAGAGAGGTGTGTATCAACTCGTCTTAGTTAAGAGAATAACATAGTTTAATATGGAAAAACGGTGGAAAAACGGTCCCTTTAATAGATAAATTGTTTCTTTTATCTCTCCCTCTCTTGTTTCAAGGTAGTCTGCAAATACTGTCAGAAAGAGCTTGTGAATTATGCTTCTCTCTGTAGTCAAGGTCAGTAAGCCTAGGGAGAGTCTAGGAAGTCAGATAAAATATTTCCAATTAAAATTGATTTATGTGCGTAAGGTAAGCACAGTATGTGTTGTTGAGGAGGACCAAAGGGTGAAGCAGAAGTGTACATGCAGTATATGGTAAAATGTTGTTGGAAGGCTTATGATAATCTGTTTGTTTTTTTCAATCAACTTTGAAAGTGAATATGTAAGTTTTTTTAAGCGCTCTGAGGTACTTTTTTAGTTCCCTGGATCACTATTACAGATCAATAAATCGTATTTGATTTGTTAGTTTTTTTACTATTAATTGGCCTGACAATTTTACAGGTGAATTTCCACCACACTTCCCAGTCTTTTCTGTCTGTTTTCCAGGACTGAGTTGGTGTTCTCTGTGACCCGGGAGCTTCTGAAGGTCCCGTCCTCTGCGCTCTCATCGCCCCTGTTCACTCCTCCAAACCTAGTGTCGCTGTTCTCTCGATACGTGGACCGGCAGAGACTCGAGCTCTTGCAGGAGAAGCTACAGTGAGTTTGCCCTCAGAAACACACACAAGCTCAAGTTTTAAAATGGATATAAATAAGACTCGTATTAATAAAATATTCAATTTTCGAGATGCATTGCCTGTGTATATTTGTGATTCCCATTTTTCTCAGTATATTAGTTAAAGGGATACTCCACTTTTTTTTTGGAAATAGGCTCATTTTACAACTCCCTCAGAGTTAAATTGTTGAGTTTTGCCGTTTTCGAATCCATTCAGCCGATTTTCTGATATTTAGAAGAATATCAGTAACCCGACAGTTTCTGGTCTCATTGACTTCCATAGGAAAAAAATATACTATGGAAGTCAATGAGACCAGAAACTGTCTGGTTACTGATATTCTTCTAAATATCAGAAAAAAAATATGAGCCTAAATGAGCCTATTTCCCAAAAAAAGTGGAGTATCTCTTTAAAAAGTCTGTCTATCTATCAAAAATAGGTTTATTTATCCATTTATCAATCAAGAACAGTTTTTTCTATGGGTCTATTGAGAATTAATTTATTTATCCGAGAATATATTAGCGCTATCAGTGTCAACACATGAGATTAATTCAAAATCAATCCTTAACACGTTAAAATAAATGAACGCAAATACATTAAGGAAACAAGCGAAAGTGCATCATTAGCATCACGTCGTTAATGACCTTAGAAGTCAGGAGCTCATCAAACTGAGCGCAAACACCTGTTATCCGAGAAATGAGACTTTTGGAGTTTAATTTTTAGTTTAATTTTAATTAATTTAATTTAGTTTAATTTTTTGAAAGACCTAAACTTACCTTGAATAAAGCGTCCACTAAATACAGTGTTCTGATGGTTTACGATGCTGGATTTAGCAAATGACGACAATTGGGCCTTTTCGTTTGTATTGACTTTGTTTTTCTTTCTTTTTTCCAGGATCACATCCCTGTCCAGGTAGAAGTGACTTCAAACGTGGCAGTCGTCGAGAGACGGACTGTCAGTGTATTTGTGAACGAGCAGTTTTATGTGTGATGTATGTTGGCGAGTGAGGCCAGGTCATTTTTCTTTTCTTGTTATAAGAGTCACAATAGGTAACAGTAATGTTTAAATGGTAATACAAACGTTGTCCATAGGTCTGTCAAGGCGATCAGGTATGTGTATTTTAGCTTCTGTTAGGGTCAGGAGCCAGGACAGGGACCTCATTGTGTGGCGACATTTCCCTGTGAAATGGCTCAATCAAGACCTTATTTATAACACATAGATTTGAGGAGAAATTTGCTGTACATTAATATCTTAATTTTTCTTATACACTGCAGCTTGAGGTATGTGTGCAAAAGAGTGAATGTGCAAGTGTGTCTGAGTTGAAATGAAGGTCTGAATAAAGGTATTCTTCATTTTTAAGTATCTTGACATGATGCCTGTGTTAAAACATGAAATTAAAACTTTCTATTGTACAAAGTTCGGTTGTGGTGTTTGTCTCTTCAGCCGGTGCTCTGGGTTTCAACACTCAGGATCTTTTGTTTTCATTCTCATGACAATTAACAACATTTTCCTTTCAAATTATAATTACTGTAATCAAATTTTCTTTTATATGGTATACTACTTTTATAATTACCATTGTTCTCAGTGGTGATTCCCGTTACATTAACACGAGTACAACAAAAATGTCCATAATGTCAAATGGTGGCAACACATTTTAGTTTTAAAGGTTGGATGAACTTATTAATTTTGAATAATTTTGCTATAACTTCTTATCAGCAAGTTCTAGACTGCAACTTTATCTCCAAATATTACCATCAAACTGTTCAAAATTAATTTATTAAAATCATGTTTAAAATAACATTATAGTGATAGTTTCTTTGGACTTTATTTCATTTTTTGGCATTGATGTCTTCGAGTTTTTATCATCTGTCTATCATCTCACACAAGCCGACAAGCGTTTTTTTCCTTTTCCTCGTCTGCACAGTAAATTTCCATTCCTTTTGTTTAGACCTCTTATTTAAAATGTTTCCATTCAGATTAGCTTTGATAGACACAACTAAGATTATTCAGTACAACTGCTCTTTTATTATCTGTCTCTTACTCCTGGTGACGTCATCTGCCCCATGGTTTGTAGAAATTAATACTGTAGGATCACATTACATCTGACATTGAAAAATCTATCACAAAACATACATACAGCATATAATAAATGCATCTGCAAGTAATTTTTTGGGGAGGGAAATGGCATTGACCTTTTTTCTACACATGGCCGGTGTGCTAAAGGAGTGTTTTTATAATGAGAGCTCAAGAGGGAGGAAAGCTTCCAGCCATCTTATCAGCTGACCTCCTTCATATGATACACACATCCCTATGAGAATTCACACACAAGTGTCTCTTTATAATTGAAATGTTAAGCTAAATGTAAATCGAACGTTTTTTAAATTAATTTTTATGTTTTAATAATATATGTAACTTTTGTACAAAATGAACAAAATTTAAATAATTAGTTAATACATAATCAGAAAGATTACATAATATGTTTGCAGATATTTAGGTAACATGCTGTGTTTACATACTCGTTTATCTGAAAAACAATGCTACAGTCAGTTATTTTACTTTGAATTTTGGTAAATTGGGTCTGCACTGCCCGTTTCAACCGCTAGTTGTCAGTCTTACATACCCGGTGTTCTGTGTATTGCACCTTTAAACCAATTATAAGTGTTTATAATTTTAGACCTGTTTGTCTGGGGTCGTTTCCAGAAGAAAATTGCGTCCATACGTCACTCGCCATGTGTCGTCATATCCCATGAATAGAGAAAGTTTCAGCTACTTTTTTAAGGTGAGAATGGCAGAGGTTAACTCGTTGTCACAACGAGCAAGGATTAGTTAACAAGTATTAGTTAACAGCAGTTAAATCAAGAACCTCCAGAGAATCATCCTTTTAAACGAAACAGAGGAGAGTCTCGCCGCGTTGGATTCTGGGACGTGGCGGGCATGTTGGCAGCTTCGCAAAGTAAACATACCAGCAAGTCGAACGAGGAGAAGCAGCTGAGTTGGGAGAAAGACAATAAAAAAAGATGTTAAAATCATTACTCAACAGGTGAGTAAGGTATTTTATTGAACAGATACGTTTTATTGCCATATGAGGCTCTCTAAAACAAAGTTTACTGTAATTCACGATCTATTGAATGGCCATATTCATCCGCACTGTCACGCAAAGCCGAAGCACAACCAAAACAATATTCTTCCGCAAACTGCATGCAGTTTTGTTTTTTAACCGTTAGAGGTTAAAAACTGCTAATGTACCTTTTATTTATTTCTACTAATCAACATAATGACTAATTTTTCATTTGATTTTTTTGTGACAATCTACATTATGCCTTAAATGCTTTATATTGAACTCGGAAAATGTAAGTTCGTTGTCACTTATTTACTCTCAAGTGGTGGTAGAGTGGTTGAACAAACATCTCTAATGTCCTTCTTTTACAGAAAATACCCAAACAAGATGACCGTTTTCTCTTTTTCTTGCCTTTATTCTCAACCCAGAGAAACTAAGTGACTCAATATCCAAAATTTGCATGCCTGTTAAAATGCACAAAAAAGGTTACATGTTTACTTGGACTAGTTCAGTCCATAAATGAGCACATTGCTAAGCACATAAATCTTTAACTGTTAGTGAAGCTAATCTAACAACTAAATCAAACGTTAACTGCTTCTTGCTGGTGTGTTCAGTCAGTGCGTTCTTGACCTCTGAACATCTCAGAGACTTTCCCTCCCAACTTTTCCTCGTGAAATGATTTTAGAGTATAGTACAACTACAGAGACAGTTTCTAGATGGTGTGTCGGTATCTACAGTGACATCGCTTCTCTTTTCAGATTCTACCATCACCATCTGATACACTCTAACAGACGCAACCGAAGCTGGCTGATGAGATGTTTCATCCTGATACCCAAGGCTCTGCAGAAAGTCTTCAAGATTTGGATATGATTTGATGATCTTCAGGAGGCTCCTGGAGATATGAAACGTGGCGTTCGGATCATAATTTGACTGATCATTGTGCGTTGTCAGGTAAATTTTCCCAAACTTCATCTGTTCGTGATCAGTGACGATGAGGCGGTCTGCGTTGCTTTCGTCATGCATGATGTTGTTGTGTTTCTTGATGTAGTTCGGCAGCATATCAGCTCCTGGCGAATTCAGATTGCCCAGCAAATAGTAGTGAAAGTTCACATCTGGAAGAAGTTTCTCATTACGTTTGGTGTATCTGTTTTCAAAGAGGTGAAAGCCAAAGACTCCATTCGCTGGGTTACAGGCCAGGAACATGTCGCCATCCTCGTTAACCCAGATGCAGTCTTTAGCAAACCAGTACAAGAGCTTGAGTCCATGCCTGGGCCAAGGCTGACCAAATCCACACTTAATTAGGTCCCTTATAGTTGTGATTTTCTCCAGCATGGTCTTCATCTAAGGGAGAGATGAAGATCAGATGCCACATTTACTTATTTTTATGTGTGCTCTCATTATACCTGTTACAGAGCTTGGGTTGACCTCAAAACAGTTACTGCAGACATATTACCACACAAAAACTAGTTATAAAAAACAGCATTTTTTCATGTGATATTTCTTTCAACTGTCTCCGAATCCCCCCCCCCCCCATGCATTTTTCATAATAAGTTAAATTAAATATAAACAAATGTTAATTAAATAATAATGAATTAATTATTTCGCAATCTAAGGGTTTTAGAGTAGAGGTTTTAACATGTTTTAACAACACCACTGCTCGATAAAACTTAACCAGTGTATTATGTTTGAATTCTGGGTGCAATTTTTTTATTTTTTTATTTTGGAGACCCTAAATGACTAGTATTCCTCTTAAATGGTTAAGATCGTATTTATCGGGTTGAAAATAAAAATTAAAAAATTTAAGTAAATCTCAGATTACTAATGGTGTGCCTCAGGGCTCCGTTTTGGGCCCTCTTCTATTTATCATTTATATATTTTCACAATTTTAAAGACATATCCTAGGTTAACCAGAATTTCCGACAACTTAATTTTGTGTTGCAACTTGCAGGTCACATAATACTGGGGTTAACCCTGTAATACCTGACATATGATGTAATAGTCAGAAATATAATTCTTTAAATGAAACATGCAGTTTTTGAAACTTTAGACAAAATATTAAAAGAAAGTTTTATATTGAGTGTCATATTTGATGCATCAGCTTCTATGGCTCATATATATATATAGGAGGATATGAAGCTCATACTCTGAGCTTTTTATTCGATTTTAAATAAAAAGTGATTTTTTATTTAAAAATAAAAATTTTATTCAAACGGACCATACAGACCCCCCAAAAAATACAATCCTCTGTAGTTGCTGATAATTATGGCCAAAAAGTAAGATGAAATTCTGAATTATGATATCTGTATATCTCCAAATAATGTAAGTTATTTAAATACTTAGTTTTATGATCAAAGTACTGTAGTTTTAATTGTGGGAGGCAAAATAAGTCTTGACACCTCTTCTTAATTTACTTTTACTAACATTTTTCTTTGACACACTCTACCTTTGAATGAATTCACATCTATATAAAATAAGAACACATCTAATGTTTAAAGAACGTATCTATATGAGATCACATCTATGTTCTAAAAACACATCTACGTTTAATAAAGCACACAACCAGATATATATATATATATATATATATCACACAACACAATGATGTTTAAAAAATGAACAAATACTCGTTCCTCAAAAGCCTGATGGATCACATTTTAACATGATTTACACGTTGCATCAGTCCAGTTTGTGATCATGAAACATTACTAACGATATAAAATGTATTCTTACGTCTACTTGATACAAATCATTAATGAATTCACAACCTGACATTATACTGACATGCTTTTACGTGCTAAAAAAATATAAACTATCATTCAAACGACAGTGGGCATGTAGAAGATTGTGTGCAACAGGATTTTCAACACAGTTTGGATCCTGTCGAGGCTTTAGAAATGTGCGTATCAGATATGACCGTATGGCTTTATAGGGTCAATTTGAATAAAAAGATAATAATGACAAATTCTCTTTGTGACAACTGGCCCCGGTTCAAAATTTCTGAATTAATAAACTCAGAGCTTACTGACGACAGTTTTTTTTTTTTGTGTGTGTGTGTGTGTGCGCACAATTCATGATCACACATGAGCGATCTTGCAAGAATCAAATAGCAAAAGTTTAGTTTCAACTGAAATAATTCTTCGAGTGTGGACAAAAAGATAAAAGAATAAAGCCCAAAGGCTACTGTACCTCTTTTTTATAAACCATAGTTATTTTCTGGAGGAATCTCCTCTGTGTTGCTGTTTCCCTCTGAGCAGTGGTGAAGGAGAGAGGAAGAAGAGAAACTCAATGCTTCTTGTAAACTGAAAGAGAATGTAATTTGAGACTTTCTGACCTCCTCTTTTGTGGGGGGTGATTATTTTAGAGCACTATGTAAATTACCTGAATAGGGAGCAGTATGTACTTCAAGAAATATATTTCAAACTGTAGTGTACTAAATGTGTCACATGACCTCTTTATTATGTTAAATTGAGTGCTTAGTTGTCTATGTAAGACTGGTTTTCTTACTAAGACTGGTTGAAGTGATAGACCTGATCACTGGTCTATGAGACAAAGGACCTTGGTGGAAATTAACATTTGACCCCCCCCCCCCCATTCTCTGTCTCAGGGACACCTAAAACTCACACAAGAATCTAAATGGTTTAATTTGAATGATTATCATTGAGTATTTCATATATTTGTAATATCATTCGAAATGTCTCAGTGCGAGTGGTACAAAATTCTCATTTCCAAATAAGTAAAAAGGTAATAAGGTTTTTAAGAGTTTCGAGATAACATACACACAAAGGAGGGTGATAGTTAAACTCAGAAGGTGTGAACTCAATGCTTAGTCCCACTGTTAGCAAATGGTACCATGTAAATCAAATTCTGCCCCCAGTAAGTCTGGGAGGGTGATTACGATGAATTTCCACTGTGAACTCATGTTTACACATGAAAAGACGTTGGTCTAATGAAATGCAACTAGAGATCAGGGTCTTCTCTGTACTTCTGCGAGACTCTTAGCTTCATCTATTTCCGTTTATTCCAGAACATTTGATGTTTTGTATTGATTATCTTTGAACTGATGATAAATTTACCAGACATAATAAATTGTTACATTTGATGAATCTAACTGACTTTGATATCACTTCATTAGTGTTCAAAGGAATTAGTCAAACTTTCGCTTATATTTAATGATGCACAGATATCATTAAAAACCTTTTCATTTATAGAGTCAGATGAAATAACGAGAGAAAAGACAATAATACGCAGAGACATCCTGATCGGATGCCGGATTTTGTGTTGGAGGTTAAATAGACCCTAAATGACTGGTATTCCTCTTAAATGGTTAAGATCGTATTTATCAGGTTGAAAATAAAAATGTAAAAATTAAATTAAATCTCAGATTACTAATGGTGTGCCTCAGGGCTCCGTTTTGGGCCCTCTTCTATTTATTATTTATATATAAAGACGTATCCTAGGTTAACCAGAACTTAATTTTGTGTTGCAGGTCACATAATACTGGGGTTAACCCTGTAATACCTGACATATGATGTAATAGTCAGAAATATCTTTCTTTAAATGAAACATGCAGTTTTTGAAACTTTAGATAAAATATTAAAAGAAAAGTTTTATATTGAGTGTCATATTTGATACATCAGCTTGTATGGCTCACACTCTGCAACAATAAAACACTCTTCTGGAGAGAAGATCTCAAATAAAGAGCATAGGACACCGCCTCGTCCAAGCTTATCTATACATCCCCCTCTTCCCACTCTTCATTTCACTGACTCAAGTCACTGGAAGTTCACTAAGAATGTCTATGTGCTATATGATGAAACTATCGTTGTTTTTTTTCATGTTTGGTATGTATTTAATGGTTGGTAAAAAACTCAATTCTGTTCTCCTGGTGTGGATAGTGTCCATTCAAAGTATCTGATAACCGTGGCTCCTCTCTCCCTTTTTGGCACAATTCAAAAAATATTTGTGTAGTAAATATTTACCACTCTTCTGGTCTTGGTATTTAAGGGAAAGTTGCAGAACAGTTAGGGGGAATCTGTAACCAGAAAACCCCCACACAGGGCCCTGTCAGTTTCCTGAGTCTTGCACTCAGAACACACTCACACCACTGTGTGTCCCGCTGTAAGTAGGCCTATAAATTTTTTTGGTTCAAAATGTCTTGTTTCCTCACATTCAAATTGGAAATTGTGTGTTGTGAAACCCAAGCGTGCCACACGAGTCCTGGAAAGTGAAACCAAAGTGTCTCGATCGCCCCCAGGTGGCTGGATGCAGTATAGGTCATAAACCCTGCCATTTCCATAATGTAATGAACAAGAGACGAACTAAGAGACGAATTAAATCTACTTTGTTAAACTGCATGATGGCCCTGTTAAATTCTCACTCATATTCAGAGTTATGTATGCTTGAAATCTCCACAATGATTAAAGCTTTTTAAAGTTAAATTTTAAAGCCAGTAAATGATGACAGAATTTTAATTTTTGGTTCACAATTAAGTTTAATTCACAAACATACAATACAACATTTAAGTAAACAGACAGAACACATGAATATTATTAATTAGCGATACATGAAGAATCACAAAACTTCTCATCCACCACAATGGAATGACACGCATGAGCCATTTATTAGACCCAAATCAATTTACTTAATTCAAATCAATGAATTTGTTATTGGTTATGAAAATCCTAGGAAGACATTTGCTAAAATGCATCTTATTTTTGGATGAACAGGAATATTTGATTTCAATTATGAGTGTCTGTAAGATCCAGACTGCAGATAAACTCAAGGCCAAATACGAGGCTACTAGATCTTAACTTCTCCAATGAAATCTGACCTTTCCATGCTTTTAATGATCCTAATAAGGCCTTTGCTGATGCGGTAGGTTTCGTTCTCATCGAAACGGCCTCTCCCTATGTACAAAAGGCCCGGATACCTTTAAATGTCCTGGACGATTTTAACCAATCATAGAGTACAAGGTTGCCATAGTGACATTCGTGCTGAGGTGAATTGGTGCTGAGGTGGATTCAGTCGGAGAGAGAAGACGCATTATAATTATTAGTTAAGATACTTGACAGTTTCAGTTGAGTTAATCTGTAGTGTTCGACGATTATTCAGCTGGTTTACATATACATTGAGTCGCTGTGTGCGTACATACCAAGTAAGTTTATATTTCCAAGTTTTTCCGTTAGTATGCAGAAACTGTTAGACGATGTTCATTAGCGCGAGCGGTCCCTGATTGGCATATATCTGCCTGTATTACTTCCTCTTTAGTAATTTTTCGGAGATTCTGCATGTTACTTTATGTTATGTATGAGACATTATGTTATTATTAGTTTTACGGTTACTTTAGAGATGATCATTATCATGAGGTAATCAGCGCCGTATACTGAGCATATGGAATGTCTAGTTAAACGCATTTATGTGCTATTAGCACCTCCTTGTGGTGATGTTTAGAATTATTATTCTGTCTGATAGCACTTCCTTAATGGGTTTGTTAGACTGAATGCTGTTAATAATGTTTATTATTAATGATGTATATGTATGCTAATGTTTATTTATTTGTTTAATTTGTTATAGAACCACACCTACATACCCCATATGTAAATCAACCAGCTCTTCAGTAAATAAGTGAAGTTTGAACCCTGCCTGGTGTGTCTGTTCAACTAAGCCTCATCTTATACAGTTCTGACCGACTGCCTGCTGCGTTTCACATCCTTTAAAATTAGTCTACTATCGAACCTCTTCATTTCAATGGTCCTTCGAGCCGGATCGTGAATCACAGCAGAGAGATGACATCCCACTTTGAGCCAGACACTCCTGTTGTTCGACCTAGACGACAGATAAGGCTGCCTGCACATCTAGCAGATTATCAAGTTACTGATTCAACGAATATGAAGAGAGCGTTACCTCTGTTTCCTCCAACGGCTGAGAGTGTGTCACAATCATCTTCTCCAGAGAGCCAGTCACCGTATCCAGATGGCCTACTACTATGTGATGAATGGCCAGATTTAGCAGAAGATGTGGCACCAGAGTATAATGAGCCCCGCCAAGACCAGCATCTCTTTGATATTAAAGCTATGTGGACTGAGATGAAAAGAGATAGCAATGAGCTTCGCAGTCACATTCTACCTGAGATACTTTCTACGCTGCGAGGGCTCCAAGTGGAGAATGCTACGTTAAAACAAGAAATTCAGCAGATAGCCACAGAAAGAGTGACTCCTGGTCGACCAGTAACGCCAGTTCCAGCTCCTCGCACCCATGTGCCATCATCCGTCCATAGACAGAGAGGTTCTACAGAGTATGCTGGGGAGGTTCCTCTAGATCGATTTGCCCAGTACGAGCAGCTGACAAAGCAGATGGGAGACTTCACGTTTTCACCCAGGCCAGAGCACCCGTATGCTGGAAGGAGTCGCCCTGTCCCCTCTCAGAGGTCCTACGCCCACTCAGTACAGCCTGTAACAGCTGTTCAGCATGACAATGAGCCACTTAGTCCTAGAAGCAGCTATCGTCAAAGTGATAGAGACTTCCAACAGACTCCATGCCCAGAGCTGACGTCTAGATCAGAAATGCAGCCAGTTTATGAGCAGGTTTACCAAGGCCCTAAGCCTACCATCCCCCGTCTGACAGCAGCAGATCCCAGACAGTTTTCGAGATTACGGATGGCGCTAGAGAATCTTCTGCCAATGAATGCGAGTGAACGCTTTAAGTATCAGATCCTGACTGATCATTTAGAGCTGGAAGAGGCCCTACTAGTAGCAGATTCCTACTGTAATTCAGTGAGACCTTATACAGACACTATGCAAGCTCTCGTGAAGATGTATGGTCAGCCCCACAAGCTTGTGCTGCGGAATATAGCTGAAGTACTAGAAGGTCCCAATCTCAAGCCAGGTGATGTTAAAGCATTCAAGTTCTTCGCCCTCCGTGTACGCTCATTAGTGAGTATGTTGGAGCAGTTGGGGTCTGAGGGAGCATCTGAGTTAGAATGTGGCTCACACGTGTCCAGACTCCAGGGCAAGCTTCCCCACGAGCTACAGATCAGTTTTAAGAGATATGTCCACCCATCTAGGATCACAGTCCCCACCCTCATCGACTTTGCAGACTGGTTAGAGTATGAGCTCCAGGTCCAAGACGACACTGCCAAGACAACTACTTATGCTCCACCCTTAGCTATTAAGAAGCGAGAAGGCCGTTACAACCCCAAGTCTCCTGGTCGATCGACAAGTTTCCTGCTGGGTACAGAGAAGCCTGCTGTAGACAGTGAACGCAGAGTGTCCGCTCCAGAGTCCCGGTCCAGCTCTG